AAGGCTGAGATGGAGGAGGCACAGGAGGGACCCTGGGGAGGCACCCGGCCCAGCCTGCAGGTCCGGGACAGCTTTCTGAAAAACCGCACACGGGGTTGGAATAGGAAGGACAATGTTCAGGCTAAAGGAGGGAAAGGGAGCCCCAGACAACGGGGTGAGCCTATGGCCTGGGCTGGGTGCAAGAGATGGAGAGCATGGCACCCCCGGGAAAGGAAGGAAGTTTAATCTGGGCGTGAGGGGATGGTGGGGGCCGTGGTCGGGAGAGGAACTTCCTCCTAAGGACCAGAGTCATCAAAGTTTTCCAAACAGAGGAGGGATGTACATGGTCTGGTTGGCATTCTAGAACAATCTTCGAACGGGGGATGGGAAGAAGGGGGTGGACTAGATAGCTGGAGAAGCTTAATGAGAAGTAGAAGGACAGGCTTATTGATGGATCCAGTTGGGAGGCAGAAGCGGGGGGAGGTCAGGGAAGCCTCCCAGGCCTCCAGTTTGGGCACCGGGGACTTGGGGGTGCCATGCTCCATGCTGGGGAGCTCAGGACCTTGGTCCGTTTGACGGGAAGATGTTCCTGGTTGGGGTCCTGGATCCCTCAGCCAGCTGCGGCATTTCCTCTCTGGTCACCTCAGCTCAGGGCCACAGTAGAGAATTCCGATCCTGAGCGGACTGCCCATTCCAGACCAGCTCCAAGGGGGAGAGGGGCGGGCTCAGAGAGTCCCGGGGGGCTTAGGCCAGAGCTGGGCCAGAAACTGGAGCTCCTGACCCCTCCGCCCCCTCCTTAGTGGCTCTTTACTTGCCCCATCACTTTTCCTACCCATTTTGTAAAGAAAAGAAAAGACAGAGACCCAGAGGGAGCAGGGGGATTGAGTCAGGGACAGAGCTAGAGGTGCACTCAGATGCCCCTGGGGGCCGGGAGCCATTGCGGGGGGGCGGGGGGGCAGCCCACACGTGCACACAGACTCAGAGAAGCTGCACAGGTGAGGAGAGGATGAGCTTGGTGCTGTCCCCAGGTCATATATGGGCTTGGGAGCTGCTGCCCAGCAGGCTGGCCTGGAGGGAGAGGGGCCAAACCCGGCCAGGATCCAGCTGGAAAGTGTGACTCAGCTGTGTTGTTGCTCAAATTGCCTGGTGTTTGGCCTGTCACTAGGGCAGCTGGAGCCCTGAGCCGTGAGTCCCAGTGTCAACAATGGCTTTATAAGGTCTCCAGGGAAGACACCAGGGGTGGGAGGGAGTTCCACATGGGGGGGTGGGGGGGCTGAACCCCCTGGGGAGATAGCCACAGCTGGTAGAAGAGAAGATAGAGGCTGCCTCCCATCATA